TTCACTCAAAAAATATGTCCTATTTTAAAAACATGTAAGCTGTGCTTCTGGATTGTAAATTAGATGCAGCACATTTTGTGTCATTTTAAAATAAAATGTCTTAAAATACGCTGAGAGAAAAAGACAGCTAGCTACTCCTAGGACATTGCCTCCATTCAGAAAGATATATGAAAAATATACAAGCAAAGAAAGAAGAGCTAACACTTAAGCACAGCGAACAACACAATAGGACTAGCAATAAAAAAGTGGGAACTGTAAAAAATAGTATTACCCAAGGTCCTGACTAGAAGTTTCACAGCTCCGAGAACTGTCCCCTGAGCCCATACGCCGTCTTTTGGATGGCTGGCTGCCGTCATTGGAATTTTCTTCTGTGTCATCCTGAAACAAAAACGAAGATAAATATTAGAAAAAATAAGAGTATTCAGCAGATAATGTAAAACATCAAAAAATATTTCAAGGCAATCCACAGTTTAAATATACCTGAACTCCTGAGCTAGTTAATAACACTCTTTACAAACAACTCACAGGACAGTTTACATAGCAAATTATTCTTTGCTCTAAACTAGCTGCATGACACATAGTGGCACAGAAGGAGAATTGGGTAGTTTCTCACCTGTTGCATAGGTGGAGCACTGAATAGACAGAGCTGTGGCTCTGACCACCAAGTTCATTGTTCTTGATGCAAACTACCTATGGCATTAGCACAATCAGACAGCTGTAGATCCACCAAACTTCCCTCACTGGTGACAGTCAGGGACAAGACTAATTCACTTAATCAGGCTAGCTCTCAAAAGCAACAGCAAGGGCAGAGCAAAAACACCAAGCCCTTGCTGAGAGCTGATGCTTACAAAATCAAGGGAAATATGACCAAAAGCAACACAGGAGTTTACGGACACACAGTTAAAATAAAAGGAATGATATACAGTTTACAAAAAGGTATGATTACAGCAAGTAGCAAAGACTTGTCTTTTGTGGGGGGGGGGAAAAAAAAGAGAAAAACTGAAGTTGTATCGCAACAGATAGAGAAGACAAATTTCATCTTCGAGAACAAAGTTATTACAAGGGAACACGTAGAAGTTAACTTACAGGTGTCACTATTCAGATCTCATAAGATCTATATAAAGAAAGGGAATAAAGGGTGAAGAAAAAAAATTTTAAAAACCTAAGAGTTCTGTAAAATCTGGCAGACCAATGATTCCACTGGCCTTCTTGTGCTTTTCACTGCTTTGTTGTCTAATAATGCTATACAGCTCCTACCTAGTGCTCATTGTCAACAACTCTCAAAGCATTTAGTGATCACCCTTGCATGATTATTAATTGAGAAACAGAAGGTAGAAGTGTTCAAGTGAATCACCTATTGTCACCAGTAGTACAGGCAAGAACAAGATAGCTCTTTCAGTGGAGTAGCATGAAAGAATCAGGTTTCATAACTTTTGTGAAAAGTTTAAGAAAGAAGAATTAACCTGTCAGAAATAAATGGATCAAGCCCACAATTATACTTATGTATTAAATAATGACAAGAACAATTATTAGGTCTACCTTAGCTAATGTCTTTCATTCTAGTATGTTTTACATACCACATCACTTGGAATATCATTAAAAAAGATTCCAGCAAATGAGAATGCATTACTTTTATTATGTAACATTTCACAGTACTATAATCAAGACAGGCCACAGGGAAAAAAGCTATTTGTCTCCTGTATTTTTGGTTTATTTCATGTTTTTTACAATTTTTTTCTTTCTTGTGGAGTAGTAAGGGTATCTTTCATGCAATTAGAACAAAAACTTAAAAGCAAAATTTAATGAAACTGTTCTTCCTTAATGCAGCTATACTTAAAGAATCAGCTAAGTAGCATCTCCACTAGTACTACTAATGACACTATTTCCTAGTATTGCCCTGTATAAACTTATTTAGGCAAATCAACTAGCAGTCCCCAATCCAAACAATAACACACTAGAGTATCTTGTGACACAGCTATGTCTCATCAGCAATTCTTCCTTACTTCCTACACGGAACATTAATGCACTCCAAACCTTTTCAACTACTAGACAAAAACATGAGCAGGGCCAAAGCCGTGCTTTGCCATGCCAAAGCTATCATGAGACTTCAAAACATTTTTAAAAGACAGATCTCAACCTGACAGTTAAGAGGAAGTGCCTGGCATCAGTTTCTCCTTTTGCTTTGAAATTTTCTTTTATTAAATGCGCTATCATTAAAAAGTATGAGCTCCCATACCACAGGAGAGATGAAAGTCCTCTATTTCTATCTTTGCTTTCTTATTTGCTGAGAAGTTCAGCAAATTCAATCACACAGGCTCACAGACTAAAACGCTCTAGGAAATGAGACAGTTTGTTGGAGAGGACTTTGCAGGAAAACTGAAAACATTTGCATTGCAATCTAAGACGCACTGTAGTTCAACCGCTGTTACTGCAGCAAACATAACAATTAAGGACAGCCTTGTGGCTTTCCCAAAAAAGCCCCTTCTTCCCTTGAAAACGCAAGTTTCTGTAAAACGCCTGTTAGTCCTTACAAAATAAGGTTCCATTACGAATTCCTGGCACATCTATCAATTATAAGCTCTACGCAACGATCCTTTATTATGTAATCGGAAAGCCTGAATTACCAAGATGTCTTTCAAAAAGTAACTGCCAATCTGCACCCCGGCGTGGGTGCGGAAACGGCAGCAAGTACTTGGTGCCGCAAGCCCAAGCAGTGCCTGGGAAGAG